TAAGAGGGACTCTGCCTCTCACAGGTTGTTATTGATTCCCTGCAAAAACAGAGTTTAAAAATAAAAACCCAACTGCTGTGCAATTTTAGTATTGTGGCCTCACAACAACAGCCACAGCGTTATTCCTTTAAACAGGTTTTCACAAGAGCTCAGCTCAGCTGCCACTTAGGCACCAAAATGAAGTGGCCAGATTTTCAAAGATGCTCAGTGCCCAGTAAACCCCCTGAGGACTGCTGGAGCTGCTGAATACTTTGGAAAATATGACCACTTCATTTAGGTGCCTAACTAGGAGCTGATCACTTCTGAAAATCTGTCCAATAATTTTTCAGTATTAGCTTACGCAGCAATTTAGCCTCACCTTGGACTTGTTACATTATCAGTTAATGGTCTTGTTGTGACATGGGATCATTTTAGCTTCATAAAGACAAGTCTCTAGGAAAAAAAGAATTTGTCTTTACTGACAAGATCAAAGAAACAAAAGAAGAGAACCGACTTTCGCTGAAACAAGAGCAGGGATCACCTCTCTGTGTCTTTATTGTAATTCATTGCTTGTTTTCAAAACCCATACTACAATTCTTCCATAGGAGAGAGAGGACTTTGTTAAATTGTAAATGAGTATTACTACAAGCACTCTGTGGAAATATGGTCTCCCCCCTATTGCCCATACATTATTTCTGCTTAGTTATGGTGGCTCACATTTCCCAGAACTATCACACAGAACTTAATTCTCCTCACACAACATCACTTTAAAATCATGCAGCTCTCTTAATCAACCTTTGTATCAGCCACAAATTTGCAGTGTGACCTAATTTGAAAAATGTCTCAAAGTGCTGACTCAAACTGTTAGTGAATAAAGGCCAGTCATTACCATTATGACACTAATGTGATGCAAAATAAAATTGAGTTGTATCAGCTGAACATTAGTTTGCAAAAATATTAGCAATTGAAGCCATTTTCTGTTCATATTTTATTTATACTTTATGAGATTTATACTTTTTTGGTTTGAAGCAGCTCTGCAACAAAATTCCTGAGTGGAAGCATGAAGAAACATTTTAATGGTGAAAAACCCAAGCCAGAAATATACATCTAAGCTGCATCACCTGCACATCATAATCTTTCTTTTTTATAAAAGCAGACAGGGAGCACATTATTTTAGAACTTTTATTAAAATATTTATACAGTAACATATGAAAATTCGCATTTCAATATGTCATTTTACTTTGCATTTTTAGGTTATATTCCAAGTTTTTATCTCTTTTCCTCTCCACTTGCAAACAGAGCTGAGATTTCTTCATTCTCTGTAGAAATAATTGTTTTAAGAATTTTTATTACCAAAAGCCTACTTCTTCATTTAAAGGTGGTGGTGGTGGGGGGAGATTTTTGGCCCCAAAATAAACAGTTACAATATAAAAAAATTGGAACTCTCAAAGGGGAAACAGATAGATAGATAGATAGATGGTAAACTTCCTTTTTTTTGAAAAATTAAATGCAAGTAGAGTATACAAATATAAATTATTCACTCTCTTTTAGCTGACATTTTACAAAATGCGTCTTATAACTTTCTCCCCATAACATCCCATTTATTTGGTTTTGGAAGAAAAAACTTTTCAAGGCACACCAGCCCCGTTACATACCTACAGCATGTACACTGTAATGTCGGCTGATAATTAGCACTCAGACCAGATTGTTTTAAATTCAGAGATCTAGAGATGAAACAATTCAGCAACAACCATTCCCCTCTGTGACTTTTTAATCTTGAAATGCCAATAAGAAAAGCTGTCTAATGTGTACTGGTAAAATGTCCCTGACTTCATGCAGAAGTGGTTCAAAAACCAGACATACACTGCTAGGAAGACAGACCATTAATTTAAAATTTAGAGGACCAATACATTTTTGATAGCAATGGGTTACTGTGCTAATGATTATTTAACTTGCTGAATGTTGGGTTAAGTATGTATGGCTATGTAAAGTATAATGCTTTATCCAAGTGCTATGGTGGGATTACTGCCACTCAAATGTTATAGTCAAAGCAGGAGAAAGCAGCAAGATTATAAAGACCAGTTACTATAATACAATTAATGCAGTTATAAAAATTAAACTACTACACTGCAGAGATAGTTCTTTTGTACAGTCCAGTATCAAAATTTCTATCTTAGTTTGTTATATTAGCTTTTCTTTTTAGTGGGGGTAGCTGGTACAAAGAAGGTTGCTGATAGGTTCCACAGTAACCTACTGAGGTTAAAAAAAATTTAAAAAAGAAAATAAAAAATAAAAAATATATTTTATTTAATAATACCAGTGACAATCGTTTCCAGATAAAATGCAATTGTCGTCACTTCTGTGGTATCATGAACAAAAAAGGTAAGAGTGGAAATGAATGTTTGATCATTGTAGGTGATTTGCAAGCCTTTTTACACTTTATCATTCATGAAGTACAGGGTGATTTCTTTGCTACAATCTTTTTAATGGATTGCACTTTCTAAAGTTCCCATTCCAGGTTGTTAGCAGTTTATGTGGTGTATTCCTGAGATGCAATACATGAGAAATTCCATTCATTAATACTTTGTATCCTTGATCCATCTTGGGAAGACGTAAGGTGGGCATCCTCTAGGCCTTTTTAATTGTTGAGTTCCCATCCTTTCCCAGTAGGCAATGGCTGATGATGATCTGTAAACTTGTTGAAATTCTGATACAAATGTGAAATTAATCAATATATTAAAAAAATTAAAAAAGAGGGAAATGCAATGAAAATTTATGACCTTAACATTCCTTCAGGGTCAAGCAATTTATCAAATTCTCTCACTTTCTGGTTTCAATTACACAGCTATTGTGGAAGGAACTTATTTTAGCAGGTTCATTGCCTCAGTAGGGAATACAGGACTTTGGCCTAATGCTTCACCTTTAGTGCAGGCCATTTGAGCCTTAGAACAAATACCAATCATCACTCTTTGGGAAAAAAAATCTGCATCGGAGTAGCCTATTGGAATGGGGTTTCTGTCAAGGTAAACGGTTGTCGGCAATGACTGTGGTAGAGTGGTGATAAATCCCATTTTATTGCTGAAAAATTCCAGCTTCTCTGCATGCCTGACAGCTCCCCACATTCCCATACCCATTTGGGCAATTTCTGCACTATGTCCATCTGGTTCTTATTACCTCTCAACCTGCCAGTGTCTGATCCAGAAAAAGTGCAGGTCAAAACAGGGGAAAGAAACCAAGGTGATGGACAAAACAGAAAGCAAGTGAGTGAGAGAGAGAGAGAGAGATTGAAATCCCTAAACAAAAAACCCCAGGAGTTTAATCATGAGATTGCTAGAAGCATATTTAAATATAGAATTGAATAGAAGTAATAATTGCAACACAAGGTTCTAATAGTCAACTGAACCACTGCCTTTGACATTTATCCAGAACATTACTGACACTTGCCTAAATGAAAATAAAAATAAAATCAAGACCTCAATCCCTTGATTACAGCAGTATTAATGGTATCACTTCAGTTAAATGAATCTCAGTGTTTCCATGGTAAGAACTGTGTTTTAGAAACTTAGAACTATATTGCAAAGATTCCCTTTAGTTAAAAGTCATTGCATGAGGTCTGCTGGGGTATGAACAAAGTTTTTGGTGGAAAAATTGACTATTTACAGAAATTTCATTAAAAAGGTGCACATTTCAAAGCTGATTTTGCACTATTACAACTCAAATAATATGTTCAGTGTGTGTAATTTCCTACAAGACTTTTATCCATAATGGAAATGTTTGGTCATTTTCATGATTAAAAATAAATATAATTTGATAACATTTTCATTTGAAAATCAGCTATTTTTTATGACCGCAACCCAGTAAAACAGCACTTACTATGCCAATATACTATGTTGTATGATAATTTGTCAAGAATCCACAAATGACATGAGAAAAGTTGCTGTGCTCTATTGAGTCAAAAATCCCCTTTTAAAGCATTTAGTTGGATTTATTTATGATTCCTACATATTTACATTTGTTTACCCATTAGTTCATAGATACTTTAATCATGTGCTTTCATGAAAATGAGACTAGAGCTATAAAGATACAAAGGAAATTAAAACACAAAGAGCTACAGTAGATTTATATAACACCAAGGATCTGACTTAACCCCAAGAACAAGGAAACTCCGAGTGAAGGTTACAAGTCTGTCCTTACCTCATCCCTTCATTCCTTGGTATTACAAGGGACTCAGTGCCCCCATCTCGGTGGTTATCTTATATATCCCATGGGTGCTAGAATACATAGGTAGGTATAATGGATTAAGTTAATCTCTGGGTACCAGGGGTTGAGATTTACAGATGTAACATGCTATTAGTAAAAATGTCCACACAACTGGTAGGCACTGGGAACCTGTTGGCTGCTAGACACTCAAGATGGAGTTTCAGCACTGAAAAAACTTTCAGGCTTATTTTGGGCTTGAGTCAAACCCCTGTTATCTGAATATCAAAAAGGGTAGTCTAGTTGTGTTAACCAGTTTGGAGCAGTTACTTTTCAATCTTATTTCTTTTTGTCGGAAGACAGTGCTTTTCCCCCCCAAGACTCTGAAATGTTATTTATTAACGTATGGGTGATAATTTCAATTTTTATAAATAAATGAATTTATCTGTAATGGTTAAAGTCTGACATTTTGAAAATCAGAACAGGAAAGAAGACATTTTTCCTTATGGAAACAAGGCTGTTAGTGTAACTTTCAATTCAAAATGAATAAAGAACAAAGCTGGGAAAGTCAACATTTTATTTCAGAACAAGTCATTTAAACATTACATGTAGAAGCAAAACACAAACCTGATGGATCATTATTTTACTCAAGAGTTTCTTAATTGCTGATGTATCCACTGAAAAATTTATATTTTATAGGGTGCATTCTTGGTAGGAAAAATGTCTAAGAACTCTCTTTCGGACTGTCAGTAACTAAATATACTAGAGAAATTTGAGTGCTTAAACATGAATTAATATTTATTTGCATTTGTAATGCAGTATTGATGATTGTTCACTAAAATATGTTTCCCGAGTACTTTGTATTGAAAAAAATAACTTTTAATATATGTCAATATCTTACAAAATGGTATGAGATACGTACAAGAAAACCGTTTGTTAGGTGAATGTTGGCCAAACAATGATTTGTATGTAGTTTTGTATACATTTGAATCAAAAAGAGACACACGTGTAGAAAGACCAAACTTCAGCAATAAAAATATTTCAGCATCAAAATGGTTAATAGTGAGTATTATAGCTTCAAAAGAGCCTATTGGCTCACTCTAAAGGATGCCCTGCAATTGTTGTTAAACTCATCAGATGAAACTACCCTTCTCAGCTAGCCCTTAGATTTGTCTGGCTAACAGTAAAATACTACAATAAATCGGTAACATATGTTGCCAGACAAGAATAAATTATATAAATAAAGAGTCAAGAGACATAGCCCCTCAAGAACAATGTGAAAAGATTTATACTTTCAATGTATTAATCAATTAACATTGTAGAAGTAACCTGAAATTGTTATACTGTTGTTTGTTTATATAATTCCTTATTTTTCTTCTTCTTTTTCTCTTCAGATTGCATTTTAAACACAAATGTTCTCCGTGACTGCCTGCTTTGCAGCATTAGGGTAAGTCCCATTTCTCCGCCACCTTAAAAAAAAAGCCTAAAAATATTTACGGCAGAAAGGCATTTTGTTAATTGTATGCTTTATGAAATAAACATAATGCTATTGGAAAAAGAGCATTTTTTATTTCAAGCATATGAGTATGTGAAATTGTGCCTATGCAAACAGAGCTACCAACAAGATAACCAACTCTACTGTGGCAATGACAAGTCTCAAAAACTCATGTACTCCAGTTATTATCACCAGCATTTAAAATATAGAAAACAAAATCTGCTTGGAGAATTGACTGAATATTTTATTTAGCTTTTTTAAAAAAAGACATCCTTTGAAAAATGACATAATATAAATAATGTTACAAAGCAACAATATAATCAATCTGTAAACTAGAATATAAATCAAGGATTTCATTAACTGCTGGTCGCCAGTTTAAATTGTAGTCTTGTCCATAATGTCTATCTATCTATGTATGTCCAAGTTATATTAAAAACCTTTAAATGGCTTTGTAATATCAGCTACATCTAGCTATTATAATAATTAATGATACTGTTTTATAAATCAATATATGTATTCTTGATAAATTCATATCCAGTTAATGGTGTAATTTAAATAAAAAATTAATGTAATAAAGGACATACAGGAATAGCAGGAAATCTTTAAAGGTTAAGAGGCAAATTTGTCTAATTTCTTTCTTTTTTTTTGGTACCTGTTTTTGAAAAAATACATTGAAATTTAGCTGATATCAACCTTGGTCTTCCGATCACAATATTGCCATGATTTTTTAATATAGCTTGTGTTTCCTGCATGCATTGTATTTTTTCCATTCTAATGTAATAAACTATATCTCAGTTAAATTCGTAATTGTATCATAGGTTTATAATACTGTGGCAAATCTAAAAAAAAAAAATCACAGCAGGGTTTCAACATTTGGCCAGGAAATATTGTAAAATATTGTTTGTCTTAATATTTTCTCCATTAATTACTCATTCCATATTTTTATTGCTATGCGGTTATTTTACTTAAACTATGAAATGCCAAAAATATGAAAATTTAGATCCAGCCATAAATGTATTTATAAGATTGTGGAAACCCTGAATAATGTTTTAATGCAATAAAAATCTGCTCTCTATCGCCTGTTTTAAATACAGTTAATCCAGTTTATTCAGAAAACACGTGTAAGTGCCTAAAAAGAAAAGAGAGAGAGCGAGAGACTGGAAAATGGCTTTTTGTTTCTCGATTGCATATTGGCGTGAAACTGCAGCCTGGCTTCGTTTGATTTTATTTATCAGCTGTAACCACAAAACGCATTTTAAAGAATAACAGGATTTAAGAACAATTAATATTGCTGATTGCCATCCATTGTGATCTTAAATGTTGAAAACAAAACCGCACAATGTGTTTATGTATTGAATGTTTTATGAAGAGTAGCCTTTGAAATTATGCAAAACATTAAGGTTTGCCATCAGCCCTGACATGGTACAGAAGTGTCATTTTAATCCATTGAGATTTTTTTTGACATTTTTCTTAACATTGGTCTGCCTTATTTAGAATAGCAACAGCGATTCATGCAGTTTCACTTGACACTGATGGGTCTTTCAAAATGTTACATGGGCAAGAGAAAAAAAAAGAATTTGCTGCCAGTCACTTTAGAAATTCAGCTATTTAAGCAACAGCTATTTGCTAAAAGTTTACGTTTCAGATGAGCTGGAATTTAAAGATCCATGATCCTTTCCCTGGGCCTATGTTTTGAAATGAAGGGAGAAAATAGAGAGGACAATTATGATTGAGTGTTAACGTGTACTCTAATACTGTAACATTTCCATTTAAAGTGTATTTTGTTTTTAGACAAAACCAGCAGCAAGAGATACATAGCCATTCCTAGGAGGCTTAATTTAAGCTTTATAGGATGAACACAAAATGCTAGGTTACAGTAACACTGAAATGTTACACATTTTAAATATCTTCATTTTAAAATCTGTGTTATTTTTTTCCTCTTGGGATCACTAATATGACTCTCCCCAGACAAAGCAGGAGCATGCCACATTCTTTAAAATTATCTGCAAAGGAGATCACATTCCTAGGCGTGTTGGAGTCTTTTTATAACTAAGGATAACCTCTTAATAGTATCGCGATTTTCAACTGGTTAAGCAGGCATCTTCAGAACATTTAACTGCAAACAAAGAGACTTCATTTAGGGGGAAACAGTTTGGAATGATTAGAAACATAAGTTTTTATCTACTGTCACATTGGTGAATCAATTATTCAAGCCCTACTAAATTTGGTTGTCTGCTTTTAAAACATTGGTTGCACTTGCTTCATGGAAAGATCAAAGAATCTGATAACTTTGCTAAATTATTTGTTTGCACAGTATGGCTAAGAGTGAAACATTTTATTTGTGTTATGGTCATGTTTTAGTCAAATGCAGTGGATTTATTCAACACCTACAATAAACCTCAGCAATGAGATTTGAACCAAATTATTATTAGTACATGCATCAATGTAAATAGACGTATGACTCAGCGATGCACAGCATGCTATCATCTGCAGATATTTATGTGGACAAAGCCACATTGTTAAAGTCAATAAAATTATGCAATAGTGACTTGTTTGGAGGCTGTGCTGATCAGATAACGACTAGCTAAAGGAGTGAAGAGCCCAGGGTAAAGCTGAAGGTGTTTAATGCTCTAGCTGGTCATTACCTGATTGTAGAGACCAATAAGGAAGTAATTATTGCTATTATAAAATAAGTTAAAGATATAGTGTTAATGATTTTTTATATGTGGTAGCACATAAAGTGTTCTATGAAACTAAATTCAGTGTTTATAACTGGACACTGCCATTAGTATGCGCTCACAACTGTGATGTGAAGGTGAAAATGCTTGTTTATCTCTCCATAATGGCATGATCTGATTGGCAGAAAGCCTGTCAGGTATGGACTTCCTTCCCACCTCACTTCCCACACACCCAAGTCAATAAAGTCACAGGATTCAGGGACAGAATTTTAAAATGCCAGCATTTTTTTTTTAAATATGCAAACTGGTAAGTAGTGTTGACTCTTCAGTTCCTCTGGAACCTTGTGATAACGGATCCTCCATGGCTGAAAACAAATTTAACTTATCTTAGTAGACACTGAAGCTCCTTCTCTAGTGGAAATAGTATTTCTAGGTAAAAATATATTTATAAAAAGATTTTTAAAAAAGTTAATAAGAGAGGAGAACAATTTAAAGAAAAAAATCAATTTACTTAAAAAAAAATCAGTAATTTTTCCTTATAATTGTGAAGGTGAATTTAGTCTCAAACCATTGTCTCTGCGTCTATTCCTTAATCAGAAAGCAAATTTCAACAGCCTTTTGTGAGAACCCCCACCGCCAGAAAACACAAGTAGCAATAGGAATAAGAAATGTATGCCAATTTTACAACTCTCATATAAAGCAAGGCAATTTCTGACCAAAAAACCCCATGCCAAACAAAGGATGTGTAAGCGATTTCATTTATTTTGATAATCCTCCTCCTGCACCAGAGCATTTTGCTGTCTTTGTCAAAGTGAATGACAACAATTTGGTCAACTCTCTCTGAGCTGCACTCAACAGTGACAGGCAAATTATCAGAGGCCCTGCACTCCTTATTATCAGAGGAGAAGTCATCAGGAGGACGCGTGGAGAATCCCTCTCCCCTGTCACTATTTGTCAGTGGGACAAGGGCCACTGCTATGGGTAGCTGACAGGTAATTTCAACAATAACAATTACTCCTATTACTGGTGTCATAAACAATTCGCCCAAGGCATGACAATAGCAAAGCTTTATAATTCAATGCCATATAAATAAATGCCAGCAGGTAACAAGTAATTTAGCTCCAATCAAGCTTTGGCCCTGGCATTAATATTGTTATTGCGAGAAAATGGAAAATTGAAAAAATTCAATATGTTAATGAATTAAGAGAGGGTCAAGGGCTAAAGCAAGGGAGGAGGTATAGTGGGGGGGTCAGAGAAGAAGAAGAGGGAACTAGAAAAAAAGAAGCCAAAATCATCATTTCAGATTCAGCGCAATGCTCACTTTTGTACAATATTATAATCACTTTTTGATATGAAGGGGAGCAATGCCATCTTGCTATTTTATATATTAGGCCTGGTGAAAAGGTAAACAGGAATGTGAATTCCATTCCCTGATCTCAAGTTTCATCACAAAGCTGTATGCAAAGTCCATTAAAAATCATTGGATTTAATTATTTTGTTATAAAAATAATAATCTCTCAGAAGCTACACAAGTAATATATTTAGAAAAGATTGAACAATTTTAAAACCCCATCATGTTAGCTTATACCCCTTTTCCTTTTGGATACCGGTTTTACCAGCCCAACTAAAATTTATTCTTATTTCTTAAGAAGGAGTATAATAAAACGTATTTTTCTAGTACGCCACAATACCACCAAAACCAAAAATAGTCCAGTATCCCTAAATACCACTTCTTGATAAGACCAATTTGCAATTTTACTATTTGTCCAGCAAGACAATGTGGCATCAGTCTGACAGCAGTAAAAGAATTTGAAAATCTCTAATTAGGAGAACTGCGGAGCAATTAACGCATGTCAAATTTCACTTCATCAAGTGCCACTCTAATTTTCCCACTAAAAATTAATGGACTTTTTTTGTATGTGCGTGTCCCCTCAAGGCAATGTTGATTCAAATCTGCTCAAGATGCAGTGTTGCACAGCTAAGCATCTTCTTGATTACAATCCGCCACACTTCTAACTGCTTTCATTCTCACTGCCACAGATACTTTGTCAACAGTCAAATTACGCCATGCTGATAACAATGCATAATGGTGTTCCTCAAAGGAGGTTCCTGTCATGGAACAGCGTTTCATAAAAATGTACCATTTTCTTCTCCAGGAAATATATCTGGCTAAAAATGATGTTTTAGTGGTTTGTGCATGGGTTGCAGTGTAATTCCCCGCCACCCCCACCCACCCTCAACTATAATTTATTTATTTTTGAGATCATATGAAAATACTACAGGGAACTGTTTGAGGAGCAATACAGAATGGAAAATATTTACAGTCAGTGTTTGTGCAGACATTGCCTCACTGCTTTACTCCCCATTTTCAATAACAATATCCTCCCCTTCTCATGCCAGTGGGTTTTTTTTTGTTTTGTTAATCTGATAAGGCAAAATCCTACAGTCTTCACACAAGCAGAAGTCCTCCTGACGTCAATGGGAATTTTGCCTGAGTGAGGACGGCAGGACTTGGCCCAGGATCTACAAACACATTGGAAGCATCTCTTTTAACAGACAGTATTTAGATTCCAAGAGGAGTTTGTTTAACAGGCACATATGCCAGAATCCTCAAAACATCACAGAGTACACAAGACGAATTGCCTTTTTGTCAGAATGGCGTACGTGTCAGCGGAAAGAGGTGCTTCATCTGAACAGTTTTTAATTTTTTTTCCTTGCCTTCATTTTTTCTCCTTGAAGATCAATATCCTTAAGCTGTTGGTAGAGTAGTGTGTAAGGGGATGGAAAATATTTTCAGTGATTAAAAGGTGAATTTGTGAGGATAAAATGCTCTGGGAATGTTTCAGCTTTTCATTTTCAGAAGTACAGAATATCTCCCTTCCCACAAAACCAGACCAATATTAAAATAAATGTATCTGTATATTTCCTAGAATTATTTGATTTACTGTTGTTAATATAGAACCAGTGTCTCAATCGCTTTGTTAAAATAGATACACTAAGTTGTAAATATAATTTCCTTCCATTGTTTTAGCTATCATCGTTTACATTTTCATTGGACCAAGTTCTCTGTTGCTGTAACTCAGTTGACCTGAATGGAGTTATGCCAGCAGAGAATTTGGGCTGTGTTCTTTGTAGTCCAGCTTATATAGCTACCCCTTCCCCTTCGGTTTCAACCTTGTTGTAACTAAGCATATTCTTGACAGCATTGTTATATAGTCAACAGATGTGTCATAGACATTCAAAATTGGGGGCTTTCTGTTACCAAAATCTATATCCCCCCACTTTTTTTGACTATGTCATCTAGTTAACAAAAAGCCAGGGAGGTTCCTTTAAAATTAAAATAATGACACAAAAACCTACTGTTGAGACATCCAGAGCTTGCAGAGAGGCCCGCTGGAAGTTGCGTAACCATGCTTATATTCATGAGAGTGTATTTTCTTCCTAAATATTATTTCATAAGCTTTAAAAATCATGGTGCTTATTGACAAAACATATACCATTTGCTGTGTATCAGAGATCTACAATGATCTTGTCATTCAAATAATAAGCAGGACTGTAAATTAAAAAAAAGAGAGAAGAAAAATGTGATTATATGATGTAATCCTGCAGTAACCAATTTTACCTCCAATATCTTGTTTTTGTTTTTAAAACGCTAAATAAACAATACATAATGCATTCCTCGTCAGCCAAAACCATGAGGCTCTGTGCTCAAATAACAGGAAACATATTCAATTTTCCTAACAGAAGACAGTTCATTAAGCTGTGCCACATCAAATAAAACTTTAATTTCTCCAGCATCAGAGTCGCAATGAAAGCAATTGAGGAAGATGAGCCATATGGTACTTCTATCAGCAAACACATATTGCTCATTCCCCCAAAGTTTTCTAATTCTGCTCCCCAGACCTGTGTAATATAGATAATGTGCTCTGAGAGCAGCAACCATGAGCTATCTGGTGTACACTTCTAATACTGTATTTAATGGGAAATAATGAATCATAAAAGCCTGCAGAAGACGGCTTTTGCTAACCTAAATCTCAGCTGTAATTTCATTGTTCTGTGCCTAAGATGCTGTTTGCCCTTTCCAGACAACAGCAGTTGAACATAATTATGCTGCTTCAAACCTGGGTTTGAGGAAAAAACCTTCATAATATAACCAAGTTTCTGTTAACTCTTGAAATTCTGAACTTGGTGCAACTCTGATTCCTAAAGGAGAACTTTGTATGATATTTTAGGTTCATAATATTATATATAAATATTTTTTTTCTCATGTATAGCTACAAAAATTAAGTTTAATACTCCCTAATCTGGCCCTAAAATGCAACAGGCGAGATCTACTAAAAATTAGGAAATCTGCTTGACATTGGGAAATCTGACACTTTGTCTGGTATAACATCTGTAAATGGCAAAGCCGTATAAGTGAACACAATAAAAGAGTAATATTTCTGGGTCTCTATTTTTTGTCAGTTACAAAAACTGGAGTTAAAGTGTTGACTAAAAGACTGAACTAACCCATTTAAACTTTATAATGTTTATACTTTTCTGATAAATTCATAATGATCTATTTACTTATATTTGAAGGCCAGTAATAAAATAGTATTGGTACAGTATATTGTCTTGTATTTTCCCCCCATCTACTTATTAAGTAAATGTACGTGCATGAAGGGATAGGTTTATTTTTAAAGATGTCTATAGTTAAAAATATGTTTTAAAGTTTATTGACTTAATACAGTTGAAGATAAATATGTTATTTGGATATGACCTAAAACTTGGACAATTTCTTAAACTCATCTGAAGTAGCTTCCCCCTCAAAATACTAATTTAAAACATTGTCTAATTAGGCTACTTACACATATTGAAAATATATTTTAGTGGCTGTGTTTGTTCTGGCAATATATGAACCAAAACCAATTAAATTAAAAAGGGAGACTTTTAAAAGTTAGAGATTGCCTTTTAAAAGCTTATTAAAATCAGCATGTTACATGTCTGTCTTTGAATTAGCTTTACAGACTTGATTGCCTTCATTAAAGCTGACTGTTTGGGTGCTGCTCCGTGAATGTTCAAGAGTCTGTGTTCCCCCCCCCCCCCCCCCCCCCCCCAAAAAAAAGCTGATTCTCACTACTTGTCAGTGTGCATTGTCTCCCAATAGAATCTAAAAGAACCTGTATTTTACAGAAGAAAAACTCACCTCATATGAAATATTACCACAAAACATTGTCATTATCACAAGAAAAAAGACCAACAGGTAAAATAACTACATTAAGATCTAAGACAAATAAATAATAATAATAATAATAATAATAAATAATATTATTATAATAATTAATACCCACCCCACATGGATTAGATTTCATGAATGCCTTAAAACAAATATTTAAACAGTTTTTTGAAACAGTGCAGAAAACCTCTGCATGCTCCGATGGGTTACAATAACAATGGTCTATTGCAATGTAAAACAAGCTGGAGGATAAAAAGGTGCTTTTTGTTACCATTTTATCAAAGCTGTTCATCTTCTAGCTGCAGGCAGCATTTTGCTGGAATTGCAGATATTTCTCTGTCCAGGCTCCTTTGTTTGTGCATCTCATTTGCATATATTTATCTCCAGCTGAGGGTGCTTCCAGCTCATTAGGGCCACCCCCCTCACATTATTTCATAAGCCAGCTGCTAGGAGGGATTTCACCTGTGGTGACTGAGAAAAGAGGGGTGAAAAACCAAATTCTTCATAAAAAGGAAATCTTCTGACTCTCTTCCCCTATAAATGGGCACCATTTGTGTTAAACAGCCTCTTGTCATGATAGATGCCTCCAGGGGTCAGGGGTTAAAGTTGATTTGAAGGTCAGCAGTAAAACAACAGACAAACCAGACGCCAAACTGGTTCCTTAGCTGTCGGTGGGAGCAGTGGTACAACCAGGTCTTGAACCTTTTTCAACCTCTAATAAAACAGGGGAAGAATTTGAAGTGGATCAACCAGGCCCCTGAGGAAGCCACACAGAAAAACACAAATAATATCAATATCAAGCAGCAACAGGAAACAATGGGCTAGCTCTCAGTGCTACATGCATGCTTCTATTGTTTCAAGAGCTAGGGAATTAATTCCACTTATTTATTTAAGGCGTGTCAACTCACTGCCTAAACCTGTTTCAGTGTCAAGATGAATAAAACTTTTATGGCTCATAAAATAGAGCCATTCATCTCAATGTTCTTTGTGGTGCCTTTTTTTTTTTCCTGGCAAACTGAGTGAGCCCTCTGCTTCAAATGGTTACATCCGAACATACTGTTGCTCAGAACTGCACCTTGTCAGAAAAGAAAATGATTTGATTGGCAAATGGATATCATTAGCAGAACCAATAAAGAAAAGCTTTTTAGCAGCCTTGTAGTAGCCCCCCAAAATTCTCATAGACACTTTTTACACGCCTGAATCCACTTGCAGCATGACTTTCTACAGAAAAAATGATTTTGTCCTAAAATAGCAAAAGTAAAAGATAGCCCAAAATGGCACAGTAAGAAATCACTTTAATATTATTTTATCTACCTGTCTACATACTAGTCATCACCTATGTCTCCTAGATAAGCAGTTTTCATTCATTTTCTATTAATGCAAAATTTCTTATGTCATTCTCATAGACTAATCTATTATTTTTTGCATTGAGTCTTGCAGTTCATGTGTAATTAAAAATATAAAACTCTCTTAATCTGATCAATTTTGTATTATTGCTATCACAATACAATTGTATTTTTATTATACTTTCAATTTGCATACTTACTGATGAATTATTAGTAATACATACTAATCAGATGAGACCATCTCAAACAGCTAAGCCTGAACTAACTTCTGTGATTCATTACACATGGCAAATGTTTGTTCAGAGTTAAAAAATCAACATAAAACCTACAATGAAATCATGTCATCTATGAAGTTTTGGACCCACAGGTAACTAAATACAATAAAGTGTGCTTTTTATTAAAAACAACCCTCCCCACCTACTCCCATTACTTATATTGCATGACTGCTTTAAAACCAAATGTTCAAATAGTAGTTGGAAATGATGCATAAAATCGCAGCATGTTCTGATAGGTTATAGAGTTCGTGGTTTATTGCAATGTAAAACAAGCTGGAGGAAGAGAAGGTGGTTTTGTTTACCATTTTCATCAAAGCTGTTCATCATGTTGATATACTTATTTTATATTGTGACCTAACATATGTTGCATTTAATTTAATTTATTTATTTGTTTTCTAGGTTGTTGCCACTTTTGCTGCTTGACATCCAAGATGTCAAGTAATTCCCAGGATTCATTTGTAATATAAGGCTATCTGAACTGAATTTCTCCCTACAAGACAACTGATATATACAAACAAAGAAATATAATCAAGTAATTTTTGTACTTAATCTGAGGCAATTAGTACCTGAATAAATATAGACTAAGATATTTGCCTACTCAAACTGTAATTATACTTCTGTTTAACCCAAAGAATGCACAGTTCTGATTGAAATGCTTTTGAGATTTATAAGTTTTGTTCATCTCCTTATTTCCTTTTGTCCCAGAAAGCATTGTAGAATCTTCTGCATAACTTGCCGTTTTTTTCCTGATATCAAGTATTGAAAACACCCAGAACCTAACACAGATATACACAATTTACTCCTCCCAAAATCGTTATCCATGTTTTTCAATTTTCTTTTTCTCAAATCTAATCACTAATTCCTTTGCTTTACCAAATAGTTAAAAATGTTAAGTGCTAGCAATGCCTCCTACCTCCCCCTCATATCTGTCTCTGTTTATGGAACGGGCCCTGGTTTCCTCCTTCTCTTGTTCAGCTCTAGGTCTTCAGGTCAGGAGACTGTAAATACACACAGCATTGCCCCAACCCATAAATCTGAGCAAAGGGCAGCCTTATATATTCAGATAAGCAATGTGGAAAAGAGAGAGAGAACAAACAGACTCTGTGGTGAAGCAGGCATTTTCCTAGAAACCAAAAATTAAATACCAACAAACCTTGAGAGTAACCTCCTTCGGAGGGGAGGGCTGTCGGGGAAGGGGAAATCTCTTGTTACCTCCTATTATTTGCCTTTAAAAGCTGAATCTGGAATGTTCACTCTCTTTTCTCGCCATTGTTTATATACAAAACATTACAAAATGCATTTTATTACCTTTGAGGCAATGAAATTAAACAAGAGATTTCTATTACTTTATAACATGCATTTGCCTCTTCAAGAGCTTTGTTGGGGTTTTCCTTTGTCATTTTTATTCCCAGCACCTCAGATGCTTTCAAGGAAACTGCCCCCCAGTTATTGCTTCTCAGTACCAAGGTCTTAGGATAAATAACATTGTTGTTACTCACCTCACCAATTTTCAAGAATTATTGCTGCAGCAAATGGGAACAGCCCTAATATATGCAAAGTGATAAATGAATTGCTACATACCTTTCAGCCTGTGTGGCCTCAAGTTATCCTAAGACCATCCAAATCTTTTGGGGGTGGGAGTAGGGTGGGCTTTGGAACTGAGCAGGGCTGAGACACTTTGTGCTCTGTGTAAGATTTTTTGTTCCCCTCCCCACCAGATGAGTAGATAATCTCTAATGCTGAGATCAAGCCAGACATGAAGATCCAGCAAGAACCACAAACAAGCACAAAGAAGTCATCTAGTTCAATGAAGGCACTTTCTGACATCTTCCGGCCCCTTTCACATGCTGATTTGCCCAGCTTTGCTTGTGCAAGGAAAGCTGAACTGACTGACACTTTGCCTCTACCATAAAGAGCTACAGAAACATATAGAACTGCACAACGTGTAGAACTTCTTCACTCTGCTATAGCTGACCTTTCCCCACTCCACTCACAGGCAGTTCTCTGCCTCTCTGTTATCTGGTGTAAATGGGCCCTGCTATTAGACGGCTTTCCTTTTTCACTTTTGTTCAGGTGAGGCATAACATACTACAGATGTAAGAACTATAGAAGCCATTACACTCAGCGGCCTTCCCTTCTCAAGTTGGAAGAGAAGTGAAAACTTCAAGTTAGCTGACAGGCCTCTCCAGAAAACCATGCCAAGGAGAGCAATTATTTTCAAGTCCATTTCCCTCTCTCTCCCAGCTTTCCCCAGTGACATAAAACAAATGTAAATCAAACGTCTGTGGTGCTGGTGAACAGCAGGATTAAAGGTTTTCACTAATATGTGAACTAGAAAGCAAGATTTTTTTTTCTGTGCTCATGACATTGAATTCTCCATGAATTTTCCTCACCAAAACTGAATTAGTAAATTGTAGTGGCAGTGAAGGTTTTGTCAGCATTTCTGTTATAAACCTGCATTTTCAGGACATTATGACATTTCCAGGACTGAAACCTTCCCTAAAACAAATCTCAGGCCAAGAATTTCCAGTGTTTCTATAGCTCAAAAAAGGGTTATTAAAAAAAAAAGGAAATTGTGCATCACTTTAATTTATGATGTAGATTTTTCCTTTTTATTTAAAACAAATGTCCGAATCAAAGTATTCATATAGCATGTGTCACGGTGAAAAATCCACTGAATGTGCAGTAATTAAAAACAAATCAAAACATTTAAATGCTGAAAGAAAAGGCGTACTTGTGGCACCTTAGAGACTAACCGATTTATTTGAGCATAAGCTTTCGTGAGCTACAGCTCATTTCATCGGATGCTGTAGCTCACAAAAGCTTATGCTCAAATAAATTGGTTAGTCTCTAAGGTGCCACAAGTCCTCCTTTTCTTTTTGCGAATACAGACTAACACGGCTGCTACTCTGAAACCTGTCATTTAAATGCTCATTCACCTCAGGAGTTGTATAGAAGCATTTGAAAATATTCTAAATATCTATTAAGATGCTTTGGTCATTATCTGTTGCCTATAGACAATATTTACTAGGTTGATAAACAGTTTAGGATGTATTCAACTAATCTTTTTTTAAACCTCTCTGATGTACCCTGAAAAATGACTAGGTCGGTATTCCACCTTTTCAAAAGTCCCTGACTATGGCATTATCCACCCCAAATCAGCCATGAAGAGAAGGCTCTGCACAGGGTTCAGTTCTTTTCTCTTGGAGCTGGGAATCCGCCTCTCGTGGTATCTCTTTCCCCACGCTTCTCATCCGCCGCCCAATTCCAGGCTCTACTGAACCCTCTGTGGGGCCAGAGATTCATGGCAGGAGCTGGGCTTAATGCAATTTGGGGCTGAATTAAGTGTAATGCTCCGCAGCTTGACAGGAGCCAAAAGAAGGGCCAAGAGTTCTAAGAGCTGGTGCAGAAGAAATCTGTGCAGAGCTTTCTGGCTGCAAAATCTTTTCCCACAGGCTATGCTGGTGCTTTTCCTGCTGGAGTTGGCAAACAGGACCTATGGACTTCATTGATGTCAATGGGTCCAGTAAACCGTGTGGTAGCTGGAACCTTCAGGTAAGCATTTCCCATTAGGATGTGTTCTCTCATACATGGGACCATGTTGTGGCATTGATTTTTGAGCAGATTGAATAAAATCTTTTCAGGTTTTGCTGAAAAATATTATTGGCATGATATAGTCTGTGGTTTCTGACACAATGTAAAATACAATTTTATGCCCCAGTCCTGCAACTTTATCTCTTTGGGTCCCCCACCCCCGGGGGACTCTCCATGGATCCATCTGTATGGATGCAGGTGCTGGATTGGGTCCTTAGTATAATATCTTTCACAAAGACTGTTTTCTAAAACACTTCTGTAAGTTATACAGAGAATTAAATTTAAAAAAATTAAGTATGTATGTATGTATGTATGTGAGAGAGAGAGAGAGATGAAGACACAAAGGAGAAACAATACAGTTACAGCTGAAATTTGCAATGAGCTGGAAAGTTGCTGAAGAGATAAGATAAAGGGAAGGTGTCCTAAACTACTGCAGCGGCAGAGGAGAAGGCTCTCAAACTAAAGATTGTCATATGTGGTGGGCCAGAGCTACAGAGCATGGCTGAGAACAGACACTGTCCATAAGGCAGGCTGTAATAAGCCCTCAAAGGTTTTTTAAAATAAAGAGAGCAGTTTTGAAATGAATGGGGAGTCATTCGAGTTGTGTATGTATGATGCCAAGTGTCAGGATTCTGCATATGATAGCAGCTGGGAAGCTATAGAGACGGGAGTTGCTGTCGCCAAAGTAAGAGGAGATGAAGGCACAGGTGAGGATTTTGGCAGGGGGGAGTCAAGGCGGAGGCATTCGCTGGCAACACTGGTAAGCTGGCAATAGTCTGTGCACAAACGAGATGTGGACTGTGTGAGATACTTAGTTAGCAAGGTCTTCAAGGAAGGGACTAGCATTTTACTCCTTTGTGTGAGGCAACTAGAAGCTTAAAAATAAATAACAGTTTAAGAACTGAGGTGGGAGGAGAAGGAACTTACAGAATAAAAGACCATACCAAGGTTTTGATCGGCAGAAGGAACAAAGGATCAGATAGAAGAGACAGTATGGTGTTTGAGAATGCTCCTCTTGCCCAAGAGAAACATCTTCTGTCTGGGGAAAAAAAAAAAGGTGAGTTCTTAGCTCAGGTTATCTATTCTTCACACAAGAATTAGTAGGAAAAGCAAAAGTGGATAGGAACCTGGAAGGCAGTGACCACGAGATGGTCGAGTTCAGGATCCTGACACAAGGAAGAAAGGAGAGCAGTAGAATACGGACCCTGGACTTCAGAAAAGCAGACTTTGACTCCCTCAGGGAACTGATGGGCAGGATCCCCTGGGAGAATAACAAGAGGGAGAAAGGAGTCCAGGGCAGCTGGCTTTATTTTAAAGAATCCTTATTAAGGTTACAGGAACAAACCATCCTGATGTGTAGAAAGAATAGTAAATATGGCAGGCGACCACCTTGGCTTAAGAGTGAAATCCTTGCTGATCTTAAACACAAAAAAGAAGATTACAGGAAGTGGAAGATTGGACAAACGACCAGGGAGGAGTATAAAAATATTGCTCAGGCATGCAGGAGTGAAATCAGGAAGGCCAAATCACACTTGGAGTTGCAGCTAGCAAGAGATGTTAAGAGTAACAAGAAGGGTTTCTTCAGGTATGTTAGCAACAAGAAGAAAGTCAAGGAAAGTGTGGGCCCCTTACTGAATGAGGGAGGCAACCTAGTGACAGAGGATGTGGAAAAAGCTAATGTACTCAAACCTTTTTTTGCCTCTGTCTTCACGAACAAGGTCAGCTTCCAGACTACTGCACTGGGCAGCACAGCATGGGGGGAGGTGACCAGCCCTCTGTGGAGAAAGAAGTGGTTCGGGACTATTTAGAAAAGCTGGACGAGCACAAGTCCATGGTGCCAGATGCGCTGCATCCGAGGGTGCTAAAGGAGTTGGTGGATGTGATTGCAGAGGCATTGGCCATTATCTTGGAAAACTCATGGCGATCAGGGGAGGTACTGGATGACTGGAAAAAGGCTAATGTACTGCCCATCTTTAAAAAAGGGAAGAAGAAGGATCCGGGGAACTACAGGCCAGTCAGCCTCACCTCAGTCTCTGGAA